ATAATCCTATAAAATAATTCTATAAAATATTATAATTCTATAAACTATTGCATGATAAGAATCACATATAATATGAAAAATAAGCAGACATAAAAACTATACAAAAATACGAGTTTTCTCACATTTCTTGAATAATTAATTTATTTTTATGTAGATATAACGTTCAGTGGTACATAGCTCCTTTACAAATTCAGAAGATGATATTGTTTCTTTTGCAAAGAGATAGAAAGGTTTTCTATTTGAATATTGCTGAATTATTTGTGGAATCATTTGAAAGAGCTGCTACAGTAAGTAACAATTATTATAGTTATCGTTTTAAATGTATTTTAAACATAGATAAATTAATAAAGGATATATTACAGATATTGAATGCTACACTATCATATTTCGCTTTTCTTCATTCTACACAAAGTAGGTAATCTAATAGTACATCAAGAATAGCAAAACAAAATCTGCGAAGTACAAATGATATTAATATCGGGCAACAATAATCAAAAATGTTTCAACGATTAAAAAAATTCATAAGAATCACTTACTATTGCAGATGTTAAAAGGATACGACAAATAGTGTCTGTGGAAATATTAAAATATTAAAATATAATATTTTCTTTGTAATAATTAATATTTATAATAAATTATATACATGCATTTATAAAAATTTAATACTGATATCAATGTATGAAACTTAGTTTTTTATTACGTTGTGAAAAGATCGTAATGTTACGTACGAACTCATGCACTACGAAATAAGTGAAGCGACAAAATGTAAAAATCCGCAAATGCGCTTGCGCGAGCCATTGATAGAAACAATACATTTACTAATATTTTTTTATGGGAAATAAACATCTGTGTCCAATTTGCTACAAATCGTTCATCAGTTTATTTCGAGGACAAATTGCCCAATTACTAATAATTCGATTCCACAGTGATAGTTCGTTACACTTTGCATGTTATTAAATTGAACAATTTATTTTAAAAGATAGAAAAATGATATCATAGAAAATTTAACTGATTATTCATCAAAAATGGTAAAAAGCGAATCTACTGCTTCCGTCAAACGTATTTCAATATCCGCCGAGACATGATCTCCATCGATTCTCTACACATCAATCTCAATAGAACTCTGTTACTCATAATAGGTTTATGGCCTTATCGGCAATCCAAACTTATTCGTGTACAATTAATTGTATCTCTTAGTATTATGATGACGTTTATTCTATTTCAGGTATGTCGATACCTTTCATTATACGATTATGCAAATACTTTAGAATAGTCTTATTTGGAACCAACTTTGCTTTGTAAATAAACACTTTACAACAATCAGATATTTATAATTTAATATTTATAACTATCCATATAATTATATTCCTAAATTTATAAAAAAAAGAACAGATAATAGGAAACAGGAAATATACAATTTATTAAAATTCTCATACACATAAAATTATTATATACTAAAAAGAAATAATTTTAATTTTAATTTGAAACTAAGAATTTTTTCATCAAATAAGGAAAGTAATATAATTTCAATACAGTCTACTGTAAGAGATTAAGAATGATACTTTACAAAAATATTTTGTTAATATTACTCGTTATTTGTTGAATCAAGTTATTCGTTATTATTATTCATTGGAAAAAGCTTATTATCATTATGGAACATCATCATCTTCAAGAAATATTGAATTGAATTTCCGTTATTCTTTTACCAAATTTTGAAGAACTTTTTTAGAATAAATTTGTTCTTGTTTCATATATCTATATATAAATCGTGACAATTATAGGTGTAAGGTATTGATTATTTGTTACTATTATTCAAAAAATGCAACTACATTATAATTATCGTTATTAATAAAGTAATATGACATCATTACCAATTCGTTATCGAAAAAAATAATTGTAATAGTAACGGTTCTAAGTAATGCATTAGATCTTAATTCCATTATGGTATACAATTATTTTTATAGTTTACAATATTTCTAACTTCAAAATATACTTCGGACCTCTTCATTAATGTTCTTTCTTCTACATTATTTTACATCATTCTTACAATTAATTATGGTTCAGTCAGTATGAACATTCAAATCGTAAGTAGGACATACATGTTCTATTCAACATACACACAGAGAAATATTTCCAAAAACAGATTCTTGTGACATGACATGAATATAACAATTTCCTTTAATAAGAAGTATTGCTAAATCACTAGATAAAAACTTTGATGGAGCAACTGCAGTATATCTGTAATGAATTATCTGACAAAAATGAAATAGATATCATAAAAAGATACGGTAGCAACGCAAAACGCTATACAGTGACACTGTTGAGTAAGACAACTTTTAGTATTTATTACATGTAACTTAAAAATCTATTTGAAACATTTAATACATTTCTTAATTAAATGTATTCATTTAAAAATTTTTATATAGTACTTGTTGTACTCGCAATACCCGTTTTTATTTTGTATCAACTTTGGCCACTTATATGTGATATTCTGTTTCCCATAAATGAGACTCGACCTCTATCGTTGCTGTTTATAACTGAATACTTCGTTGATCAAGAAAAATACTATTACTTAATTTTGATACACGCAAACGCAGCCACTTTCATAGGAGTAATCGCATTGATAGCGACCGGAACAATGTTCATAGCTTATCTATTGCTTGCATGTGGAATGTTTCGAATTGCCAGGTAAGAAGACAAATGTGAGGACAAAAAGAGATGGGATATTTAAATTCAAAATGTTATAAAATTATGGGTATAAAAATCACATGCAGTTATCGTATCGAACGAGCGATGGCAATTGATATGCTACACAAAAACAGCTTAGAAAAGAAATCTCCGATTTATAAGGGATTAATTTGTGGCGTTGATATGCATCGTAAGGCTATGAAGTTAGTATTTAATTGATATTTCAATTATATAAAATATGTAAAGCATATTTTTCTTTTTTTAAAGATTTTCCGATTTGTCAATATCCAAATTTAAAGTAATGTTCTTTCTTATGTTGGTGGTAGGCGTGATATGTACAGCCATCAATTATTTTCGGGTAAGTTATATTCTGCATTGTAATATATCTGTTAGCTAGTAATATATAATTATTATTGTATTTTTATAATTTATATCAAGATTATTAATGTGTTTTATTTAAATTCTGTAACTTTAGATTTTTCAGTTGATTTCAATTGAATTCAACATTGAGAAGCTTGTATTGCATGTAATATTCGCATTTACCCAAACTGTGTATTTTTTTATTGATGGTCATTTGGGACAACAGGTTATAGATCATAATAATTATGTACTTGACACCATGTAAGGAAGATATTTTTAATACAATCACATACATAAACAAATTTGTTCTATAGAAATATTGCATAATAAAAATCACAGTGTAGCATGCAAAGAAAGCAGATATGATAAATGTGATAAAAATTATTTATATATATTTTATTTTTCTTGAATAATTAATTCGTTACATAGATACAACGTTCGATGGTACATTGCTCCTCTACAAATTCAGAAGATGATATTATTTCTTTTGCAAAGAGGTAGCAGGACTTTCAATATAAATATTGCTGGATTGATTATTGCATCTTTGGAAGGTGTCGCTACAGTAAGAAACATATATTAGCTGATATGTTAAATGTATTTTAAATGGATAAAACAAAAAAGACATCTATTACAGTGGATGAGTTCTATATTCTCATCTTTTACTGTTCTTTATTCTACCCAGAGTAAATAAGCTAATAATACAGTAAAATAACAATATCATAATGCAGTTTGTAAAACGCAAAAAATATTAATGTTAGTATAAAGGGAAATTCAATTACTAAGGGATACTATATTATGAGGAATATTAAGTACTTGTAAGTGATAAAAAAATACGAAAATTGTAGTGTTTATAAGAATATTAATTTAGAATTTAAAATATTTTATCTATAATAAAAATAAATATACTGAATAGAAGATCAGTTTTCTATAACTTTGACCTTGATATATATTTGATATATATTATTAAGTCATGATCTTTATATGAATTATATTCAAAAAATTTTTAGCCGTCCGATGTTTATTAAAAATTCTAACTAAAAAAAATTGAAAAATATAATAATTTATATCAATATTCAGAAATGTAATTTGCTAATGTATACATATATTGCGACGACATGATGCGAGCAAAGGAAAGGCGAAGCCCTTTTCCTTGCATCCCTCCCCTTTCCCCCGGAAAACCTGCTTTAATATATCTTTAATTTCAACTCAGAACTCAATGGATTAAAGTTACTCTATGTCTGATATAAAATTAAAATTTAGAGCAGATATTTCTGGATCCTTTTTTTCACCTATGTATCATAATATATGTATATACACATTGACAAATTATATCTTTCAATAATAATATAAATTTTTCAAACTTCATTTGTTAATAACATTTTAATAAACAATAACTATTAAGTAAAACCTTCAAAATATTACAATGATGTTTATGATAATCTTTATGACAATGCTTTGTGATATGATTATAACTCAAAATTATTAATATGGAAAGATGATTTTTCAAAATCGTTGCCTATATTTTGCAACGCAAGCGAGATCCAACACACTCCATCTCCTCCTGCTTACAGAATCTGAAATCCACAATTGTATTATTCTACAATTGTATTATTCTACATGGACACATAATTTAATTTGATTTAATCAAAGAAATCAAAACAAATAAATAAGTTTATTTCATAGTATTTGTTTTCTTCTTAAACATATACTTGTGTCTAAAAATTATATTATGAAATCTATTTTGTTAATAAATTTTTAATAAATAATGGATATTGGATATTGGATATTGGATATACTAAAATCTTTCAAATGTTGTTTAGGGTTTTAATCTTGACAACATATGTTAAAGTCAAAATCATCGGTCTTTTATTCGATATATTTATCAGAAAATGTATATTTTTGATCATTTTATGAATTGATTGTTTTATAAAGTTGACGCGATTCATGTCATTCAATGCTAGATTCATTTCATTCTCCATCTTACTCATTAGAAATTAATAATTAGCTTCAGCCACTTCTCAATTTTCATTATGTGTACTCTACATTTTATTCATATGTGTACGCGGATAAATATTTCTGAGAAGTACATTTTTTTATTTAATAATATATAATGATTTTTTCAAACTTAATTAAAAAAAACATCCTAGAATGTTATTAAAATGATAGATAAAGTACAAGTTAGAACAACTGCAGCACATCTGTAACGAGTTAATAGAAAATAGAATTAACATCTATATTTCTTTGCAAAAGAAATGTTACACCATTGCATTTCTACGTAAGACAACTATTTTTGATTTTTGTACACAAATAATAAATATTATATTTAAAACTAAATATAAAATTATAATAAATTTTTTTATTGAGAGGATTCTTTAATATTTTTCAGTTAATCATATCTTAATTTTAAATTTGGCGCTTTTTGGACACTTCACAGATAGATAAGACTTGACTACGTCTTTCATTGCTACTTATGCACAATATTTTATCAAAAGAAATATTTTTATTCTATTTTGTACACAAATGCAATGAAGAGATGCAATATTAGCGACAATGGAAATTAAGGAACAATACTTATGATTTATTATTAATAACACATGTGCGAATTGTTTCAAATCGCTAGGTAAAAGATTACAAGGATGAATACGAAAAAATAATGTCGGAAATTTAGAAAATTATATAATTACAATAGAAGTGTAACTTGCAGATTACCAAATCATGCATCATGACAAACAATGATAATGAAAAATCAACAAAAAAAGAAAATAATTTGAACAACAAGAATCTGATTTATAAAAGATTAATTTACACTGCAGAGATAAATCATGAAGCTATGAAGTTGGATTAATGTTTACATAAAATATATAATATATATTCTATAATATAATACATATTCTACATACATTTATATAGAATATAGTTATTAAAGATTTTTCAATACACCGGTATCCAGATTTATAGTAATATCTTTTCTTATGATAATCTGACTCACACAATCAACTTTTTTTCATATAAGTTTTATTATACACTTATAAACACACTTATAATTTAAAGATAAAATAAATGGCTATCTCATTTTTATGGATAATGTATGGATAATGGTAAATTAGTTAATTCTGTTTTGATTAATAATTAAATGCTAATAATTTTTTATTAATGCGTTCTATTTAAATTTAGTTAACTTTAGATTCTTTAGATGGTTACATTTGGACACAATATTGAGACGATTCTATTTCCTTAAGCTGTTTTGAATCTGTTTTTACGCTTCATGCATATTTATTGTGCAGTATTGTAGATAAAAGATTATGGTTTGTATATAATAGCAAATCAGGGACTATTAAGTACAAATTTTAACAGGTTAATAATATAAAATAAAAATCAATGACTAAAACTGACTTTATACTATTCGCTATTGCAGATGCCGTGATTATGATAACAGTAATATCTATTAGTATTAAAATACACAATACATTACAGTATTAAAATATATATTTCTTTTAGCAATTAATATTCATAATAAAATGTATAAAAAATGCATTCATAAAAATTTAATGTTAATATCAAAATATGAAGCTATTTGTCTATTATTTTAATAAAAGGTCAAAATAAAACTTACTATCTCATGCACTACGAAGCAGAGATACGACAAAGTATGGAAATTTGCAAATGCGCTTGCGCGATCTATTGTCAGGAAATATATTTAGAAATACTTTTCTATGAGAAATAAACATCTGTCCTCAATTCGCTACGTGTTATTGATCATTTAATCGCCAATTTATTCCGAGGGAAAATTGTCAAATTGCGAATAATATGATTTTGAGGTAATATTTTCTTATATTTTGCGTTAAAGTGGACAATTTATGTTAAAAGACAAAAAAGTAATATCAGAAAATGTGACCAATTATTCAAAAAGAAAAATAATAGGAAACAAACCTATTGCTTCTCAAACAAATTTCAATATTCGAGAAGACATGAACTCCATCGATTCTTTAGATATCAGTCTCAATCGAATTCTGTTACTCACAATTGGTTTATGGCCTTATCAGCAATCTAAACTTGTTCGCGTACAACGAATTATATTTTTTGCTATTTTGACGACATTTATTTTATTTCAGGTACGTTGATAATTTAATTGCATGTCTACGTAAATACTTTAGAATATTCACATCTACACTTCTGCAAATAAATACTATATAGCAATCATATAAATAATTATTTTTATAATTTTATTATATAATTTGTACAAAATAGGAAACAAAGAATTCTATATTGTAAATTATTGAAATTTTATGTATAGTTATATTATATACTAAAAAAGATAATTTTAATTTACAACTAAGGATTTTAGATATGTGTAAAAAATGTAGTATAATTCCAGTACACTTTATATAAAATTGAAAAGAATATTTTTAAAAAATTATTCATTATCGTTATTCCTGTTAAAATAACTAGCTTATTATGGTTGTCGTTGAAAAAAGTACCTGTTATCCTTATGACATATAATCGTTCTCAAAGAGTGTTGAATTGAATTTTTATCATTTTTTTTAACCAAATTTTCAAAAATGAGTTATACTTTTCAGAAATGGGTTATACTTGTTTTACATAATAAAATGTAACAAGTATGCAGTGTGAATGATGAAAGTAACAATTGTGTTTATTATAATTACCCAATACATATAGCTACATTGTCATTATTGTTATTAATAAAATAGAATAACCGTTACCAGTTCAATATAAAAAAAAAATGACTATATCACTAATGATAGTATAAGTAATACGTTATATCTCAATTCTCTTATTATATAATGTTATATAAAGTTATTTTTTATAGTTTACAATATTTCTGACTTCAAAATGTACTTCGAATCTTCTCATTAATGTCCTTTCTTCTACATTATTTTACATTGTACTTATAATTAAATATGGTTCATTTAGCATGAACATTAAAGTCGTAAGTAGAACATATGCAATCTATTGAAATATGCGCATAGATAAATATTTTTTAAAACAGATCGTATGTAACATGAATATAACATAAACATAATTTTCCAAAATTACATAAAAAATAATATGAAATATTGTTAAAACATTAGATAAAAGATTTGCTGGAGCAAATTCAATATATCTGCAATGAATTATCTAACGACGAAATTGATATTATGAAAAGATATGGTTGCAACGTAAAACATTACACAATTACATTGCTACGTAAGACAATTATTTTTAGCATTTATTATATAAAACTAAAAACTAAAAATTTCTATTTTTATTTCAAATATTCAATATACTTCTTAATCAAATATATTGATTTTAAATATTACTTGTCTCTTTATAGTACTTGTCATATTCGTAACATGCGTTTTCATTTTGTATCCATTTTGGCCACTTCTATCGGATATTCTGTTCCCCATAAATGAGACTCGATCTCATCTATCGTTGTTGTTTATAACTGAATACTTTGTCGATCAAGAGAAATATTACTATTTAATTGTGATACACGCAAACGCAGCTACTTTCATAGGAACAGTAGCAATGTTAGCAACAGGAACAATACTCATAGCTTATCAACTACTGGCATGCGGAATGTTTCGAATTGCCAGGTAAGAGAGTAAAATTAAAAGGAGACAGAATATACATATCAGAAAATTAGAGGCTATAATGAAATGAGAAATACGTGCAGTTATCGTTTTGAACAAGCGATGACAATTGATACGCTACATAAAAACAATTTGGAGAAGAAAATTTTGATTTATAAAGGATTAATTTGTGGCGTTGATATGCATCGTAAAGCTATGAAGTTGGTATTTAATTAAAAAGTTATTTATGTGGAATAAGTATGAAATGAGTATAAAACATATTTTTTTTCCTTTAAAGATTTTCGGATCTGTCAGTATCTAAATTTAAAGTAATGTTCTTTCTTATGATAATCGCTGGTGTAATGTGTACGGCTATCAATTATTTTTTGGTGAGTCATATAATCCATTTGTAAATATAACTGTTAATTAGCGGAAGAAAGACACATTTTTTTCTATAATTTGCAATTTCTATAACCAAATTGTTAATATATTCTATCTAAATTTAGTGAATTTTAGATTTTTCAGATGGTTTCGTTTGGATTTAATATCGAGAAGTTCTTTTTGCCTGTGATATTTGCACTTGTCCACACTTTATATTTGTTTATTGGTGGTCAGATTGGGCAACAAATTATAGATCACAATAATGATGTACTTGACACCGTGTAAGAGAGTTATCTTTAATACAGTCATTTACATTAACGAATTCATTCTATGAATTATACATAATAAAGATTACAACATGTTATAATATGAAAGAAAGTAGATATGTGAAAAACTATTTACAAATGTATAAATTTTTTAATTTTTTTTAAATAATTAATTCGTCATTACGCAGATACAACATTCGATGGTACATTGCTCCTCTACAAATTCAGAAGATGATATTGTTTCTCTTGCAAAAAGGCTGCAAGGTTTTCAATTTAAATATTGCTGGATTAATTGTTGGATCTTTTGAAGGTGTCGCTACAGTAAGAAACATATTTTTTGCTCATGTGTGGAATATTTTAGACAAATATAACAAAAAAAAATATCTTACAGTTAATGAGTACTACATTATCGTATTTTACCGTTCTTTACTCTACGCAAAATAAATGAACTAATAATATAATTAAATAACAGTTATAATGCAGTTTGTAAGACACAAAAAATGTTGCTTATAATGTAGATGAAATTTTAACGATTAATGAATAATTTTATGAAAAAGTTTAAATACTTGCAAATGTGAAGAGTATACAAACGGTAGTGTTTATGACAATATTAGATTTTCTTTAGGATAATCAATGTTTATAGTATAATATGTTTAAAATATATTTTATCTATAATAAATGAATAGTAATATATAATAGCAATATATGAAGCTGAAAACCTGTCACTTTGTAATTATATCTTTGAAGAATTTATAGAAAGTAAATGTATATTTTTAAGTTGTTTTGTAAATGATTATTTTCTAGACGATTCATATTATTCAATATCCGATCTATTCCATTCTCCTTACTTATTAAAAACTAACGATTATTTATTTTAGATAATTTTTCAATTTTCAGCCTGTACATTATTTTATACATTTATGCCAATATATGGAGAAATATTTTAGAAAAATACATTATCTTATTTAAAAATATATAACAATTTTTTACAAACTTAATTAAAAAAACACGCTAGAATGTTATTATGACGATAAAATATCTCTGTAAAATGTTATTATGACGGTGAAATATCTGTGAACAACTGCCACATATTTGTAAAGAGTTCATAGACGAAAATAAAATAAATATCTAACAAATTACAACGCGAAACATGGCATTTCCTCGACAAACAAGATTTTGGTTGCTAAAGTCACTTAATATGAAAAAAATTCAATTAATTATATTATTAATTACGTGCCGCTTTGATTCAGCAGACTTTCAACGTAGTGGCTCTATAATAATTTGATGATCAATATTATTGATATCGATTAAAATCCCTTTTATCATTCCCCCCACCAGAAATATATATTGTGAAAAATATCACTTCAGCCAGGGATCGAACCTGGATCGCCTGCTTTCCGGGCAGACATCTTATCCACTAGACTGAGACTATGGTAATATTTATCGCAATATGCAGATAAGTCAAACGTCTTTTTCAGCAGACGTGCGAATAAACAATACATAGATATAGGTCGAGTATATGTTAACTAACAAACTACAATGCGAAACATGGCAGTTCCTCGACAAAATAAATATCATAAAACAATCTGCATCTCTTTGCAAAATGTTATACCGTTACATTTCTATGTAAAATAACTGTTTTTGATTTTTATTAAGCAAATTATATATTATATACAACAAATTTATTACAGAATTATAACAAATTTTTTTGTTAGAAGGATTCTTGAATATATTTCAGTGCTTCATGCTTATGTTAATCACATAAATCTTAATTTTATATCAAATTTGATTGTACATTTTAGATATGTTACTGAAACCAGTAAAACTTAACCTTTTTCACTGCTTGTGTCTTTCACTACTATTTGCAAAATACTGTATTAATTATGAAAAGTATTTTTATTTTAATTTGCAGCACGTAAAAGCGACCTATATGATAAAAAAAAGCGCAATGTTAGTGGCAAGAACAATGCTTACAGTTTATTTACAGCACATGTGCAAAATATTTCAAATTGCCTGATGAAAGAATGCAGAGATACACACGAAGAAGTAATATCGGAAATTAGAATATGAAATAAAAATTTAGCATGATCATATAATCATAATAGAAGAATTACTTGCAGTAATCGTGTCAAACAAATAATGACAATTAAAAAGTAACGAAAGAAAAACAGTTTGGACGATAAGAATTTGATTTACATGTGATTAATTTATGGAGTTGCATCGTAAAGTTATGAAGTTTGTATTATATTTGATATTTTGAATTGATATTTATATATAATATATGTACAGCACACCTTTTTTTATTAAATATTTTTTGTTACCTCGATATTCAGATCCAAAATAATGTTCTTGATGGCTAACATGATTTGTACAATCATGAATCTTTTTTCTAGGAAATTCTATTATTCATTTTTATTATATCTATAATTTAGAGATAAGATAAATTGCTATCTCATAATTTTAATTAGTCGGTTCTGTTTTTGATATTAATATTTAATTTTTACCGAAGCATTGATGTGCTCTATTTAAATTTAATGGACTCCAGATATTTAGTAGTTTATATAGTAATTTATTTAATAGTTTATATTTGAATATTATATTGAGAAATTCCCATTTTCTGCCCGATTTCATTATGCATACATTATATATATTTATTGGCAATTATTTTGGACAAAAGATTACAATGGTGTATACACTATTTTGTACAAGTATATAATATTATATAAAAATAAAAAAACAGTTTAAACAGCAAGCGATCTGTGATTATAAAATAAAATTATTTATAAAGTTACTTATGAATTGTATTACTTTGTTTTAGTAATTGATTTTGACATTATTTTTTTATATAATAATTTTTATATAATTTTTATATAATAATAAAATTTATCATTAAAGGAAAATAACACAATTTATTATTATTAAATATTATTAAATATATTAAATTATTATTAAATACATATATTATACATATATATATATATATATATTACAGATTATTCAGCAGCTTCATATTCAGCTGCTTCATATATATATATATATATATATATACAAAATGATATAGTTCTTTCTACAAAGAGATAACAAGATTTCCAATTTGAATGTTGCTGGACTATTTGTTGGTTCATTAGGTAGATATTGTAATTAATGTATACTTTAATTAATTTTTACATGTACTTTAAGCATATAAAATAAAAAAGCATATATTTACATTTAATGAGAGCCATAGTATTTGTATATTTATCTCCTTTTCATTCCGCGCAAAATAAATTGATTAATGATATAGTAAATTAATGAGCAAATCAAAAACTATTATGTGTACATTTTAACGCGAGTTAATAACATAAAGCAAAATTCAATGATTAAGAGATAACTTTATAAGGACTGTTCATTATCGCAGATGCCGTGATATAATAACAGTAATATCTACAGCAATATTAAAAACTACTTTTTTTAAAAATTACTTTTTTTACAGCAATTAATATTCACAATAAGATATATAAAAATGCATTCAAAAAACTTTAAAGCTAATATTAAAATATGAAACTATTTGTTTATTATTTTATTCAAAATATAACTTACTACCTCATGCGCTACGAAGCAGATGAGACATGATAAAGTATGGAAATTAGCAAACGCGCTTGCGCGACCTATTGTCAGGAAATATATTTAGGAATACTTTTTTTATGAGAAATAAACATCTGTCCTCAATGCGCTATGTGTTATTGATCATTTAATCGCCAATTTATTCCGAGGGAAAATTGTCAAATTGGGAATAATATGATTTTGAGGTAATACTTTTTTATATTTTGCGTTAAAGTGGACAATTTATGTTAAAAGACAAAAAAGTAATATCATAGAAAATGTGACCAATTATTCGTCAAAAACAGAAAATAATAGGAAACAAACCTATTGCTTCTCAAACAAATTTCAATATTCGAGAAGACATGAACTCCATCGATTCTTTAGATATCAGTCTCAATCGAACTCTGTTACTCACAATTGGTTTATGGCCTTATCAGCAATCTAAACTTGTTCGCGTACAACTAATTGTATTTTTTGGTATTTTGACGACATTTATTTTATTTCAGGTACGTCGATATCTTTAATTGCATATCTACATAAATACTTTAGAATATTCACATCTACACTTCTGCAAATAAATACTATATAGCAGTCACATATATAATTATTTTTATAATTTTATTATAAAATTTGTACAAAATAGGAAACAAATAATTCTATATTGTAAGTTATTGAAATTGTACGTATAGTTAAATTATATACTAAAAAAGATAATTTTAATTTACAACTAAGGATTTCAGATATGTATAAAAAATGTAGTATAATTCCAGTACACTTTAGTATATAAAATTGAAAAGAATATTTTTAAAAAATTATTCGTTATTGTTATTCCTGTTAAAATAACTACCTTATTATGGTTATCATTGAAAAAAAGTACCTGTTATCATTATGACATATAATCGTTCTCAGAGTGTTGAATTGAATTTTTACCATTTTTTTTAACCAAATTTTCAAAACCCTTTTCAGAAATGGGTTATACTTGTTTTACATAATAAAATATAACAAGTATGCAGTGTGAACGATGAAAGTAATAAATATATTTATTATTATTACCCAGTACATATAGTTACATTGTCATTGTTATTGTTATCATATTGTTATTAATAAAATAGAATAATATCGTTATCAGTTTGATATAAAGAGAATAATTGTATTACTAATGATGTTATAAGTAATACGTTATATCTCAATTCTCTTATTATATTAATGTTATATAAAGTTATTTTTTATAGTTTACAATATTTCTGACTTCAAAATGTACTTTGGATCTTCTCATTAATGTCCTTTCTTCTACATTATTTTACATTGTACTTATAATTAAATATGGTTCATTTAGCATGAACGTTAAAGTCGTAAGTAAAATATATGCGATCTATTGAAAAAGGCGTATAGATGAATATTTTTGAAAACAGATTGTAACATGAATATAACATAAATATAATTTTCTAAAATTGCATAAAAAAACAATATGAAATATTGTTAAAACATTAGATAAAAGATTTGCTGGAGCAAATCCAATATATCTGCAATGAATTATCTAACGATGAAATTGATATTATGAAAAGATATGGTTGCAACGTAAAACGTTACACAATTACATTGCTACGTAAGACAATTATTTTTAGCATTTATTATATAAAACTAAAAAACTAAAAAATTTCTATTTTTATTTCAAATATTCAATATACTTCTTAATAAATTATATTGATTTTAAATATTACTTGTCTCTTTATAGTACTTGTCATATTCGTAACATGCGTTTTCATTTTGTACCCATTTTGGCCGCTTCTATCGGATATTCTGTTCCCCATAAATGAGACTCGATCTCATCTATCGTTGTTGTTTATAACTGAATACTTTGTCGATCAAATATTACTATTTAATTGTGATACACGCAAACGCAGCTACTTTCATAGGAACAGTAGCAATGTTAGCAACAGGAACAATACTCATAGCTTATCAACTACTGGCATGCGGAATGTTTCGAATTGCCAGGTAAGAGAGTAAAATTAAAAGGAGGCGGAATATTCATATCAGAAAATTAGAGGCTATAATGAAATGAGAAATACGTGCAGTTATCGTTTTGAACAAGCGATGACAATTGATACGCTACATAAAAACAGTTTGGAGAAGAAAATTTTGATTTATAAAGGATTAATTTGTGGCGTTGATATGCATCGTAAAGCTATGAAGTTGGTATTTAATTAAAAAGTTATTTATGTGGAATAAGTATGAAATGACTATAAAATATATTTTTCTTCCTTTAAAGAATTTCGAATCTGTCAGTATCCAGATTTAAAGTAATGTTCTTTCTCATGGTAATCGCTGGTGTAATGTGTACGGCTATCAACTATTTTTTGGTGAGTCATATAATCCATTTGTAGATATAACTTAATTAGCGGGAGAAAGACAAATTTTTTTTTATAATTTGCATTTTCTATAATCAAATTGTTTGTATATTCTATCTAAATTTAGTGAATTTTAGATTTTTCAGATGGTTTCGTTTGAATTTAATATTAAGAAATTTTTGTTGCCTGTGATATTCGCACTTACCCACACTTTATACTTGTTTATTGGTGGTCAGATTGGGCAACAAATTATAGATCATAATAATGATGTATTTGACACCGTGTAAGAGAGATATCTTTAATACAGTCATTTATATTAACGAATTCATTCTATGAATTATACACGAGAAAGGTTACAACATGTTATAACATGAAAGAAAGCAGATATATGAAAAACTATTTACAAATGTATAAATTTTTTAATTTTTCTTAAATAATTAATTCGTCATTACATAGATACAATATTCGATGGTACATTGCTCCTCTACAAATTCAGAAGATGATATTGTTTCTCTTGCAAAGAGGCAGCATGATTTTTAGTTTAAATATTGCTGGATTAATTGTTGGATCTTTTGAAGGTGTCGCTACAGTAAGAAACATATTTTTTTGCTCATGTGTTAAATATTTCAGACAAAGTTTCATAACAAAAAAATATCTTACAGTTGATGAGTACTATATTGTCGTATTTTACCGTTCTTTATTCTACGCAAAATAAATGAACTAATACTATAATTAAATAATACAATTTGTAAGACACAAAAAATGTTGCTTATAATATAAATGAAAGTTTAACGATTAATGGATAATTTTATGAAAAAGTTTAAATTCTTGCAAATAGAGAATACAAACGGTAGTGTTTATGACAATGTTAGATTTTCTTTAGAATAATCAATATATGTAATGTAGTATGTTTAAAATATATTTTAATTATAACAAATTAATAGCAATGTATGAAGCTGAGAACCTGTCACTTTGTAATTATCTCGTAAAGTATCTTTAAAGAATTTGTAGTAAGTAAATGTATATTTTTTAAGTTGTTTTTTAAATGACTATTTTTAATCAATTCATATTATTCAATACCCAATCTATTTCATTCTTCTTATTTATTAAAAATTAATGATTATTTATTTTAGATAACTTATCAATTTTCAGCCTGTACATTATTTGTTATCTTTACATCAATATATGAAGAAATATTTTGGAAAAATACATTATTTTATTTAATCATATATGTTTTTTTTCAAAATTAATTAAGAAAAACACGCTAGAATGTTATTAATACGATAGATAAAGATTTTGCCAGAACAACTGCAACATAAGGAGTTAATAGATGAAAATATTATAAAATGAATAAAACAATCTGCATTTCTTTGGAAAATGTTACACATTACATTTCTACGTAAGACGTTCTACGTAACTGTTTTTGATTATTATTAAGCAAATTATATAATTAATTATATGTTGTATACAAAAAAATTAATTACAAAATTATTGCAAATTTTTTTACTGAAAGAATTCTTAAATATATTTCAGAGCTTCCTGCGTTATTCACATAAATCTTAATTTTATATCAAATTTGGCCGTAAATTTTAAATATTTTACTGTTCCTAAATACGACTTGACTATATCTTTTATTGCTATTTCCAGAACATAAAATAAAAATTTAGAGTGATCATATAATCATAGAAGAAGAGTTACTTGCAGTAATTATGTCAAACAAATAATAATAATTAAAAATCAATAAAAGAAAAACAGTTTGAACAATAAAAATTTGATTCACATGAGAATTTATGGAGATGCAAAGCTATGAAGTTAGTATGATATTTTGAACTGATATTTATACATATATAATATATGTATAGCACACTTTTTTTAGAACTTTTTTCGAAGATTTTTTGATAAAGTCGATATTTAGATTCAAAATAATATCCTTTTTCATAATAATGGCTGACATGATTTGTACAACCATCATCCTTTTTTCTAGGAAATTCCATTATTTATTTTTAAATATACTTGTTTTGTTAAATATACTAAATTCTATTATTTACTTTTAAATATAATTTAAAGATAAGATTAATTGCTATCTCATAATTTTAATTAGTCGGTTCTGTTTTTGACAATATTTAATTTCTATCAAATCATTGGTATCTCGCTCTATTTAAATTAGTGGACTTTAAATATTTTAAGTAGTTATATTTGAACATTACGTTGAGAAATTTCTATTTCCTGCATTAATTTCGTTATGTATGCATAATATATGTTTATTTTGGACAAAAGATTATAATACGACGTGTACAATCGACGTGTATTTTCTGCAACTATTATATAAAGATGACAAAAAACATTTAAGCTAGCAAGCTGTTATTATAATATAAGACTATTTATAAAATTATT